AAATGAATAATGAAAATTAATTGAAACAACAATTATTTTAAGTCTTCTTTTTCTTTTTCTTATTCCTTCAATACAAACTATACGGAATCGGCCATTCTTGTCATACACCTGATGTACCCACCTCCAAATAGCTGTGTTCCTAAACTCTTCTTTACTTGAAGCTAAAAATATTCATACACTACAATATAACAAACTATTATGTCTATTGATGTAATAACTACAAGGTATTGTAAAAAATAATTATTCATGTAAAAATGGAGTAATATACTGGAACTTAAATACACTGACCACCGGGTAAAAATATTATATACATTTAAACAAAATTAAACAAAAATTAGAACGATGATCATACTTTGAGTTTTGACACATTATTGACGAGATGCACAGACGTCAAACGTCCATTACAGTTCTATATTAGGCATCTGTTAATGCCACTTAAATGTAAAATCATAATATGACATATGGTTGGTAAATTATATTTTGATTAGCCATTAATACACATTATGCAACAGTTTTGTGTATCTCGTCGTTCCTCGTTAGTAGTTCTACAAAGTTTATATTAGTCGATGTTAAAAAAAAATGTATGGTTAAAAAGTTTAAAATGAAAATAAATGTAATTACTTGCAATCCTAACTTTTAATTAAATTTATGATATGTGAATATGTCTTATTTAGAGATCGGGAGTTGATAACTTAAAAAAAACCATTTAAAAAAATGCAAAAACATCAAATGTCCTTAAAATATGTATTTAATGATCTAAAAACAAAAAAAAAACTTTCGAGGTTGTTAACATTACTTGAACTATGTATTTATTTTTAACCATCAAAAACACACTTAAGAAAAAATATATATATTTGATGAAACTTAATAATTATATTAAGTATTTGTAATTTGATGTGTGATGGAGGATGCACTTTATCTTATAATAATGTTCCACTAAATTCCACCACCGCCTATTCAAGTGAATTTTACAAGGTAAAACAAAATATTGTGTATCTCTATTTTCACGATATATTATATGTATTCAGAACATATACAATCGAAATAGTTAAAAATGACCTTAAGTCACAAACAATTATCTAATTAGTAGGTTTTCATTTTATTATTGTTTTTTTTTTTTTTTACACATTTGCCCCAACTTCTAGAGTTATTGGTGTTTCTGAAATACTAGGTTTTTATTGTAACTGAATACCAAAACACATTTTTAGAAAAGCATTGGCTAGATGTTCTAGAAAACAAAAAAGTCTTCAACTCCTGAACTTTAAATTTATACTTTAATCTATTATAAACCAAACACATTGTATAATTACATAATATAAGTATGGAGTTTGGAGAACGACTTTGAATAATCACCACAGTTAATGTATAAATTATAACACTCAGACGAAGATAATATTATTTGCATCATAAAAAAAGTGTCATTAATAATATTATTGTCTATTTAAATTGTTTGTGAAAATAATAAACTAGTTATGCCAGTTATATTGTAGATTCTGAGTGGAGCAATGAAAGTATTGATTTTTCAATGATGTGTGTTTTTATTGTGTCCGAATATACTTTTTATAGGAATCAAAAAGCTTTGATTTTAAACTTTAGGGTAGTTTTTGGTGACAAATTGGATTTAGTTTGTACTTTGCATAGTATAATGTACAGCAAAGCAATCGTCTAAATTTTAGTTATTAAAAATAATTGTATAACTTCTAATATATGATTTTTTTTTTGATTCTAAGCTAACTTCGATAAGTTTACTGTAAAATATCTTGATAAAATTACAAACGTCAAATAATATAATTCATTTTTAGTTTTAAAAAATAATCAAAAAAGTTTCTCTAAATTATTTGCGTTTATAAAAGTATTATACATATTTCGATAAACCCATGTCTACGAACTTGTAAAAAAATCATTTTTAGGTGGGTTGCGTGGGACTTGATAAGGTATGTACATTTTCATATCAAAGGTCTATAATACACGACTCCTATTGTTAACCAAAAATCATGAGTTAGTTCAAAACCTACATAAGCTTTTGAGTTATCTTGAAATAAAATCTAATTGCATCTGCATGGCTTTTTATTAAATGTTTTGTTTTCCCAAAACTGTTTAGAGTCGTAAACTACTTTATTCAAATTAAATTTATATTATTTTATAACTTTTTACATATTTTGATAAATTGTCACGATACAGTTTAAAGTATTAAATTTACTTTTAACTAAATTAGTAATATTTCATCGTTACATACATATAATATTATAATGTAATGTTGTTACAACAATAGTAAAGTTTCTTTGTCTAAATATTTATAATTTATATAACATTGCATGTAATTTAGAAAGTTATGATTAATTTATGATTTGAAAATTCAATTCGATGAAATATTATATTTTCATTATTAGTAGTTATTAACTAAAAAATCTAAAAACAGAAGTAAATTTATTTTAGTCAGTATAAACAATTTGGGAAAACACATTGATATTATTTATCATTTTACTTTATACAATCATATACCAAACTAAATTTCTAAAGCAGAAAATAAGATTTGCAAAAATAAATACTTGCCAAATTTATTCTTAATAATACCCTTTACATCAAGAATAATAATTTATTCAAATTTAATTGAATATTTTGCTCTGCGTGTTAAAAAAAAATATTCACTAAAACATTCTTTACTTGACTTTTAGTTATACTGGACTTGTATGTATTGTAAATTATTTCACACAATATACGTTTAATAAAAATTGTTAACTTTTAACTTCTTTAGATAATTAGGTACTACTTATTACAAAATAGGATATATATTTATGGTGTCAATAGCATAATTATAGTATTGTCATATTATATAGTTATAATATAGTTGTGTATAAATAATTAACATTTCAATTATTTTATTTTTATTTTGAATGCTTAGTAAAATTTAACAAGATATTTTTATAACAAATTTTCATTAATAAGTTTTAATTAAAAAAGTTATGTTACAGTCGTACACAAAATTCATATTTATACTGTTGATTAAACAAGTGTCTAAATTAATCAAAAGTTTTACCCGACGACTTCAGTATATTGGTTTTAACATATTGAAAAAGATGTACATATTAATATTAAAAGATTCATATATTTAATAGTGTATAAATAATACGATATAATAATATGTACATAACATAACAAACTATCAACACAAATTTATGTATACAGAATATATGTTATTGTGCCAGTATATAAAATGTTTTCCAGAATTTTAATATTAAGCGACGTTCTTATATTTTGTATGCACCTATAAGATGACTATCTATATGCCATAATAGCAAAACATATATTATTGCTAAAAATACAAACGCGCAATGTAACATTTTAAGTTTTTTAACTTTAATGTATTGCATCGTAGGTATAAATGCGATCAATAAAAAGAAAAATATCTGTATCGCAAACAATCGTGAATTTGATAGGAAATCACGAAATCCAATTCGTGCGAACGAATAATAATAATAATAAAAAAAAAAACATTTTGACTTATTGATTGTAGTTTTCCTCTCGGGTACTATTATAAAAAAAAATGGCTAACTGCCAGCAAACTCGAAAAATTTCGAACGATTCCGTAGACTCGAAATAGTTTAGTGTACGCATCGCAAAATACTAGGGATCATTATTAATTTTATTTATTTTTTCGGTTTTTATCGCCGACAATCGAATATTTTCTAGGTACGTCGCTCGTGTAGTTTATGGTATTATTATTTTTATTATTATCTAGCCGAGTATCATCCCGACACTGAGTTATCCGTGTAATTAGTTTCGATTATCATAACGCTCGTAGTCCCCTGCAGTCCTCGTCGTGTTCGGCTCCGGTCGAATTCCCACAGTCAATCAATACACGACGATTTATTGTTTAAAGAGCAGTAGCTCTCGGCTGCAACGTAAACGATTTTTTTTTTCATCACATATTTGTGTGTGTGTGATTGTTTCAGACACCATAATGGTGGATTGCGTTACACTGTCTGATGTAAAATAGAAACAATAATATATATTATAACGTTATACACTACATAATAGTCACAATATCTTCCCCTATACCTATATTATTTTGATGACCGCGATAATCGAACGTAGTTCTATATTGACGTTGAAAATGTGTATCGGAATATTATAATGATATTATGTTATTGTAGTACCGCTGTGGCGCAAAGTCGATTCGTGTGTAAAAAGCCATCGGAAATGAATAAAATTAATTGATATATCACATGGGTAGAATTCGATGCGGGCGAGTAAGTACTTGCATACGACTTATAATACCTATAATATATTATAGGTGTAGATTTTTCCGTGGGAAAACTGAGTGTACTTTCCGACACATCGCGCCTTTCGTGCAAAACGTTCGGATGGGTCGCGGCGGTCGTTCTTCACTTAAAAACCGTCTGTCCCCGATGGTGGTGTTGGTGGTGGCGGTCGTCGTCGGAAAGTGTCTGAGGTGCAGTATTCTACCCTCGCCGTCACTCCCCCCCCCCACCAAATGTATCGAGCAATATAACTTTTTCGCCCTGCGACGACGACATTGTCGTCATTGTTTTCAACACGGGTCGAGCCCGCCGATTTCATTCATCATCGCAAGTCCGCTCGCAAACCTACGACGATAATATACACACCGGTAGAGGTGTAGTATATAATATATTATGGCCGCGGCAGTGATGGGGAGGGGGGGCAGTACCTACCTACCCTCCGCGAGTGTACATAATAGGTGTTTGCACTTAAAAACCGGGGGAAAAAATTGAAAGACGAAAGGGGAGGAAAAAAAACCTCGAGGAATAATAATAAAAGCTCGCTGTCCGACCGAACCGAAAGAAGAACACAAAAATAAAATACGTACGTAATATAATATATATATATATATATATATATATGCACGTATATACATATTATAAACGAAAATCCCACGTTTTCAACAGATGGCGCGGAAATCCACCGACAAAGTGCCCGCGCGTCGTTTCGACCTAGGATATACGGTCGTCGCTCAGTAACGTTCGGATAACGGTAAATGCCGCAACGGTCGTCGGACAACGTTCAATCGTGCGCTCGCGCGTGTCGCCCGGTGATTAATATTTCCGCACACGGTTTCCGGTTTTTTTTTTTGTTTATTTTTTATTTGGATTTAGCTCGTTAACCGTCGTTCGACACCGCGCGCAGTCGCACTATAACACCGTTTAATTACTTTTCGAAAAAAAAAAAAAAACAACAGTATATTATTGAAATTCCGGTCGAATCGGCTCCGCCACGGAGGAGGCTATCTTCGCGGGTTCGCACGTCGTCCCTCTCGCGTACCTACCCAGTTCTCTGCACACGTAAGTCACTCGAAATATCATTATAATAATGCATATATTATAAACGGACGGGTACCGGCTATTGTGATATATTCTGGTGTCAAAGCGTACTCGAATAATTACACTGCAAGTGCCGTAAATCGTAGGAGATTTAACAATAACGATGATAATTTCACCGTTAATGACGGTCAATCGTTTTAGATTTTTACCCACTATTTTGAGGACAAATCATCGCCTTTAAAAAAAATAGACCTTTTTTTTGAAACGAATGAATTACATTACAAACTCGCGTCTTATTTCACGGCGAAGCTGATGATAAAATAATACGACATTATCGTTTTTGGGCTTTCGCAATAATATTTCAAGACTCAGGACAACTGTAGCGATTGTTAGGTACCACAGCGAAAGAACGCGCACATCTTTCCGAGGTTCGACTGCCCTTCTCCCCGGAGGAACGAATTCGGCACAATAATAAATTCCGATGACCTAGACGACCACGTAGAACGACACGAATAAAATAATTATAAATAATTACGTTAACAATGGTAATAGATATTATAATATGCAAAATGCAATTATATAGACACATAATAATCATAGAGCCCTTAATCAGATGACGTTTTCAAAACATGACCATGGTTGATTATTATTATTATTTTATACCGTACAGGATTTTGATTGTCGTACTCGAATATTTATTTACATACCATACTGCAGCTGCTGTAGTTAAGTCATAATAAGACACGCAAACCAATACAAGTGAAAATCCTTACTTGAGAAATTAATTACACCGGAACCTTGTAAGCTGTAGGTACCTACTGTATAAATATATATTGTAATAAGTAGTTAAAATGTTTTTCCGAATATTGCGATGTTTTGAGTAGGTATTAATTGATAATTATTATTTCAAAGAGTAAACGTATGAACGGAGTAAAGTTCTTAAGTGGGCTATGATGATATAGTGAGTACCAACTACTAATGATTGTGACATTCAATTTTAAATAACTTAAGCAATTTATTTGGTATGATATTTTACAAAACTAAAAATGCACAAACAGAGGACGAATAATATTTTGTGTGTCATGTGCCTTATACAAAATACAATCGTTTCGTTGATTAACGTATGAAATACTAAAAACTCTGCTTTAACATACAAATACAATTCAGATCTCACAACAATGGTCTGAGTAAGCATGTACTCTAAAGTAAGTAAAATGCAGCACCTTTCACAATATTTAATGTTTATAAAACTACAAAAAAATAAACAGTTGTTGCAATATTTATCATAACTACCTATAAGACACATCAATACGTTTAGTTTCAGATTTAATTATGATTATTTGCTATTCTTTATGATAAAGATTTAAGTTATTATACATTTTAATATTTCTATGCAGTAAGATGACCATTTTATGTCAAACAATTGATGAGATTTTTATTTATAAAAATAAACTTAATTTTTGTATCATACAATTTGAAAATACCCAGTAAAAAAATAATAATAGTTATTTGTAATTCTATAAGTCATAAATATTTTTTTAAAGATTTTAACTCATATTAAATTATATATAAAATTAAAGTTATACTATTTGGTGTCAGAATAGGTATGTATTACATGCAGTATAGTTAAAATTTGTATGGAAATATATTAATATTTTTTTGTGTAATGAATCCATAAGCCTAGATAACCAGTCGATAACTCAATATATTTAATAAGCTTAAACTTGTAAAAACAGCATTCTTTAGGGAACATTTTAGAAACTACCTCATAATTTAAAAATAATTAATTTTTTAAATATAAATCATAGAATTTAATAATTATTATAATACAGAAATTGTAATACTAAGTTTGGAATGAAAACGTTCAATATATTAATTTAATTAATATTTAACTTCATTAACATAATCTGGGCATAAGGTATTAATGTTTAATATAAAATATCAAATAGTTGATTTAATCAAAAATGTAATTATTATCTTTTGACGCCTATAATATTGTTCACCTATTGATATTGGAAAATGTATTCATACATTTCTCATTTAATTTAAAACGTATCAACGTATCATTCATAAAATATTACTTACTACATTTTAATTCAAACGAAGATTTAGTAACGTTTTGTGTAGGTATTAAGCTTTTAATTATAAAATCATAAACACAATTAACACTAAATCAAATGCTAGTAACAATATTTATAATGTTGATTTTCCAACATCTTAAGATGCCAATCAAAAACCATTCAATAATATTGTTTCCACTTATATAAATAATATTTTATGTGGAAAATGTAAAACACTTTAATTTATTACCATCCATATTTAATTGAAAGTATTCAAAAATGATTATTTTTTTTAAAACTAAAATGAATTATAATTGTTCAAAATGTACGGTGTTATATACACCATCAATCGCATGAAAAAATATTATTCTCTACTCAAAAAATGTTTATGGATAGGAATTCAAGTAATTTCAAAGAGAGTAGCAATTAAATGAACCAAAACTACAAGAATCGTTATTATTGTGATTTTTTTCAAATTAATGAAAGTGAATAAATTATGAAACCTATTTTTCCAAAAAAAAACACATTAGTTGAATATACAATTGTGTGTATAATCCTACAGTTAATTTCCCAATGCCGAATACCCCAAGGGCCAAGATGAATTTGTTGTATAAGTTAAATTTGAATATAAAACTAAATGCATGCATATACTCCATACCTAGTTTGGTCAGTGAGTAATAAATTAAATTAATATTCCATTACATTTTAAAAATATTAAAACATTGAGATTTAAACAAATTTATTATATCTCTAGAACACATGTTTAAATAGTAATTATACAATGTCATTCATTATTGATAAAATAATTACTTTTTACAATTTTTCAATTTTATTATTATTACATACAACAATGTTATGCGGCCTTGTAAACAATTAAATCTAAGTTGGAAAATACTTTTTGAACGTTTTAAAAAATTGCATGTGCTAGTTTGAAGAAAAAAGTCAATGGTTACTCAGAAGCTAGAATTTGTGTTATTTTTTTATTTTGTTGGCATGCTACCACTAATAACCACTTGTTTAAGATAAATAGTAAATAATATGATAAGGTCGGGTCACTGTATCGAACCACACACTTAAAAAATTTCTCTATTCACAGTCAGACGAAAAATACTAAATATTTTATAAAAAATGTATTTTATTTTCGGTGGGATGTGTAAATTTGAAAGTTAAAAACTTAAATATTTTATTTCTAATATCACTATTGGTCCTAATGTCAGCTTAGATAATTTTAGTCAAATAACCAACAAACCGATCGTGATTCGATATTATAGTATTATACTATTATGTATGTTATCGGTATTCATACCACTAGTCATAGTCGTATTTGATTTGTCGTTGTCAACTAAATATGTTTATTTATTTATAATTACGAGTGTAGTTACAATATTAAGTACAAGAATTATAATATTCAACCATACAATAAATATTGAAAACAAAATGTTCTTTCTAGATTTTAGAAAATATTTGTTTTGTTTATTCAATAATAAATAATAATATTGATACTTTGAAGTTTAAATAGATCGTATTTTATAGATAGTCGATTCAATTTGTTTATTTATAATGGCTAAACATTATAATATGTTGATAAGAATTTCAATCCAATCATTTTGAAACAATTTGTTATAATATTGTCCTAAAAATTGAACAATGTAAAATACTGAAAAATAAAATAACAAATTGCCTTTTTAGTTGTTGGGATGAAAAGATATATCGAAAACACACTAGGTATCAATCAAATAGTTTGAAATCGTTATTGATGAATACAGAATGCATAAAAAAACTTCACGAAAAAATAACAAGTAGGTGAAGCCAACGGATCTCTATTGAATAGGTAGTTGATGTTTTTGTTTATGCAGTTTACTTTGATAACTCGAACCGGTAAAAATGACAAGTCTTAGTATACATCATTAAAATAATTTTCTTTTCCGTCGTTTTATTGTTCGTACGTAGTAAACATTGAAAGCAATATAAACTGTACATAAAACCGATCTAACATTGTACCGATTCTGGTAATACGATGTTATGTCGCTCAGTCGTATATTTGTGTAGGTATATTGTGTCTTCGGATTTATGTGTGCGTGCTCAATTTCTAGTTATAATTATAATATTGACAAGCTATTTATACATAACATACTAAAGGCGATTTTGAGTAGAGTTTTACATGATATTACGTTACAAATGTCATGGCATTCTACATACAGCTGCAAAATGATGACAAACTCAAAATAATTATACCGGAAATTATTTTTAAAAAACTTAAGACATGCATATTTGTCAAAATAGAATTCACCTATACACGAACCCAAGCTATACGATTAATTTCCGTCATAAGATTTTATGATTTTGACTTTTCTTGTTGTTTGATCAGATGCCTCCAAGGCTCGAGTACCGTAATTATGCGTAAATACCAATCAAATTTATAACTTTATATTATATTAATAGAAAATTATTCTATTAAGTGTAGGCGTACAACTTTACCTCAAAATGGGGGCTTATACATTCGATACAAATATACCATGTAAACTAATAATAATGAACTTGATATTATGATACGTCTTTAGTGTAAATTAATAAGAAAAAATATGGTGAGAAATCTTAGCAAGTTCAGTTTAAACAAACTCTGATCAATAAAATATTCATATATTATATTTATTTTGATCTCAGGATTTTTTGTTTAGTGGGTAAATGAAAGAGACATGTTTAGTTGTAGAATAATACTTCAATATGGCTACTGATAGAAAATTGTATCTAGTTGCTACTTTGATGAGTAAAATATTTCAGTAATTGTCAGTAATGGTATGTATAGGTAGTAATTCAGTCTAACTAATTTCAAAACAAATATTATTTTGTTAACGATTTTTACATATATAAATATTTTCCTAACTAATAGAATTATTATTCATTACATACAAATATAAATTATTAATAGCTGACAAGAATTAAGTTCAATCACCGTATAAA